CAATTTACTAGAGCGGACCATGTTTGAAGGTCCGTAAAATTTAGAGATGTGAATCTACTACCTTAGGACCACACTATTTGCCCTAAAGATTTAGCAAGTGTTCCAATACGATTGACCAATGACTGCAGATTGAGTGTTCAAGGGCAAAATCATCCAAATATTTTGGTATAACCTGAAACACGAAATTAATGATATCAGTGTATTCAGAAAATTAATACGAGCAACCTGTCAGAAGAAAACTTCTCCAAAATCGTCGTCACACGTCACCACCAGAGATGCACGCGTTGCCGCCTCCGATTGCCATGTAGGAAAGAACGCATCCACTTGCTGAGGCTAGGTCTAGCCTTTGTTTGTCTAGTCGATGAATGTGTTGGCCAGAATCAAAGCTTTCTAGTTCGGTTTGGTCGGGGAAAAATCGATTTTTTGATGATTTTGATCTTAAAAAATTCCACGAAGGCTCTGATACCAGATGTGAAGTGTGAGACTTGATCAATAAAGCATTTTTCCAGGCTCAATGCTTCAAATTAATCCACACCTCAATGAAGAAACCGAACAAAAATCCGTCAACCCTTCCACACTTACGGTTACTTCTTTATCACCCACAAAGGACACTGAAAAGGAGGTATAATCACAGTATGAGATCAACCACAAAGGAAGTAAAGGGAAGAAAAAATAGTAGACAAAAAAACACAAAAAGACCACCCATTTCTATATGGTAGAAGAAGCACAAGATGCAAGCATACAAAGGCTAAAATGAAACAGCCCACAAATAGGTAACATTAGGATGCAGTAATAGGTCAAGCCCAATAAATGGGTAAGTGGGCTGAGTGTATTATTAAATGAATTACCATTTGTAAGTCGTCCAAATAAGTGGGAAATATTTTTTTATTTTTTAGATAAGGTAGGTGCATTATATCCTAATAAGTAGGAAATAGGCCATGAACAACACTAATTAAAATGGGCTGCTTCCAATGACCCAAACTGTTTTAGGGTCGGGTTATTTCTTTGAGGTGTCGATTTACTATTCAGTCATTTAATTGATGTCGATTGAAAAAATATACCGAGTTATATCATCATCCCGGAGGTCATTTGACAATAATTTGTCCAACACAATCCTACTCCCATCAACAACACTCTTTTTGATGTCACTTACTTCTCCAACCATAAATAAAGGTAGCCAACCACTTGATAAGTCTTCTACAGCTCAACTGTTGAACCTCCTTCTAGCCAAATACAAGTACATCCCACATCTAGATAGTAGCCAATATTCCACCTTACCAACTTATCCAATGGTCGCTCATACCAAGAACATCTTTGAACTACAAACAATTCACCATGACACGACTAAACGTTCTATAATTGGACCCCTAGATAACACTCGTATCATATAGGTTTTGAAACATGTTCATTGGAGACAAGCAATGTACAATGAGGTCAATGCACAATTTCGTAATCAAATTCAGGATCTTGTCCCTCGAAATTCATCTCAAAATTTTGTTTTTTATAAATGGTTTTTCCATGTTTAGCAGAATATAGACGGGTTTAAATCTAGGTACATGGTCAGTCTTTTTGTTAAAGGATTCCTTCAATGTCTAGGGGTTTATTATCAAGACAAATTCGCACCAATTGTCAAGCTAACCACGATACTCAACATGCTCAATCTTACTCCTTTTCATGGTTGGCCAATTCACCAACTGGGCTCAACAATGCACGTTTACATGGCAAGATTACTGAAGAATTTAAAGGGTTTCTACTATCTTTAAGATTTGTTAACAGTTTGTACTTTCTTGTGTATATGGATTATCTTATTAAAATAGGCATCAATAATGAATTCATCCATATTGGGTGACTGACTTACGACTTTGCTTTTAAGTTCAACAAAGAGACCTACTACTGATCTAGGATCAGAGACAGATTAGAAAATAGGGGGCTTGATCTGAATTTCACAAATTCGAATCCCACCTCAGCCCTTGTTTTCTGATCTGTCCCTGAGCCTGACCAGCATTAGTGTTCTACAAATACCTACTAATGTACTTCTCAACCAACATAATTTACGAACACTATATGCTTAACAGGAACAACATGATTAGTGCAAAGGAAAGTTACACAATCATGTCTACCTCACAATCTCATGTTCTATCTGATGGCACATTACTCACGGATACCACCAGGTTGCAGGTGCTCTATCCCGTCTCTCACTTCCATACGTTGGGATAATTGCAAACATGGTATCAAACATTACATTTAATGGCATACTTTGTCCAAACATTTCATTCGTGCCATCCACGATACCAAACTTTTTAAAAAAAATTTACATCTGCAATTTGGATGGATGGTTTCCATCCATTTGACAGTTAGTTGGCCATTTAAAAAAATTCGACAAATTTTTAAAAGGGTAAAATAGTAACTTTAAAATTTTAATATAAAATATATTATAATAATAATTAAATAAAAAATTAAAACTAAAAAAAAAATAAAAAATCAAACTCAATAGCTGTCGTCTTTACCCAACCACATCTCACCCCAACCCAAAACCAAACCTAAAACAAACAGTTGCCACTTGTCGACCATTGCCACTGTCACCATCGTCGCCTTCACAGAGGCACATCTTCCAAAAGAATCCAAGATTAACTCCCAATTCTGCCTCCATGGCAACCATTAATGGTTATTCTCGTGGGCCAAAGCACCCAAAAATTATCATTAATGGTGGCCATGGACATTTCAGAAACATATGGGACACCAAACACCACTGTTCCACTGGGCGTGTCAAATTGTTTCGCGCGGGTTAGTCGCTAATAATTAAAAAGGGATCAGACAATTGTGTAAGGGACAAACCTCTTAAGACAAAGTCCCAAAAAGCGGTGTTTTTATTGGCGATGACTTTACAATTGGAAATTAAAAACAGAATGCCTCCAAGGGACACAAGCACACGAGTTACTGAAAGAAGTGTTTAAATCTAAACTAAGAAATTTAAAATTACATGTTCTCTGTTCGAGAGTTTTTTGATTCGTCCTTTGCTCTATGTCTTTTCTCCCTTTTATACTCCATGGATAATCTCTTTGTAATCAACCGCCTAAAAACTGCTTGATCGTTCTACAACTGCCCACTTTCCTCGTAATGGCCAACTTGTCATGAAACTGTCTTTTTTAACTGCTGCCATTACTCTTCGTCGTTCGACCATTTTCGATTGAATTCCTTGAATCGTGGAACGTGATAGGGCTGCTTTAACCACTGCTTTGATAACTGCACTTCTTGATAACCACAACACTTTATGTTTGCTAAGATCTTGGGCGTCTTGAAGGTTTGGGTGAGAATAGAGTAACAGCTCTGGGCGACTGCATGGCACTCCATTCGCTCAGATTCTGGGCGACTTGCAAACTTGGGCGATGGCGTTACCGCATTCTTGGGGCTCCCTATTTGGGCCTTCATCTTGAATTGTTTGATTGTGATTCGTTCTTTGGGCTATCTGATTTGGGGACCTTCCAATTGGGCTTCATTCCTTGGACCGTTCGATTTGGACTGAATTTTTATGTGTCAACACACGTATATTCGAATTTGATAACAAACTAATACACTTTTATTTAAAGTAATTTTTTTGTGTAATGATACACTACTTACTATATTATTACTTGTTAATTTCTCATTGTGAACTTATCCTATTCGGCTATTTCATCAGCGTGTGAAAATTTTCATAGGCCCATTATACTGGGCCTCCCATTTCTGTTCACGGGCTAGCCTTATCCGGCTTAACAGAAAACTGATGACCTTGTCGGGCTACTTCTATTAAACCAGCCGATTCAATGTGCAGAGCCAATTTAAATGGGGCGAAAAAAAAATTCAAAATCAAAGTCAAATACTAATGTTGATTTTTATGGAATAATTAAGCCCCTGTATGGATTGGAATAAAATTAGATTTTTAGTAAATTTTGATAAAAATTAGTAAAACGTGTGGTTAAAAATTAGTTGATAAAATTGTGGGTCCTACGAAATGTATGATTGAAAATAAGTTTGAAAAAAAATTGAGTTTTAAGAAAAGGAGCCGAACAAGAGATAAGTATCAATAGTGCTTCCACTTATTTAGAGCTTGTTTGGAAGTGATTTTGAGAATTGATTTTTTGACCGTTAGGAAAAAAGTGAGGTCCACATGTGAGAGAAGTAATCAAATATGACGGCTGAAATAGTGAAATAACGGTCAAGAAAAACAATTTTTTGGATGAAAAAATCGCTCCCAAACAGGCCTTTAATGTATGCTTTTTGAGGGTGCTCTAAATTCTGTAGCTTAGGTCTTCGTCGTAATCGATTTTCAGTTTTTGTTCAATCGGAATGGGTCGGAGAGTCCCAAGAACTCATTTCCGAGTCTATGTCTGATTTTAATAAAAGTTAGATCCAACTGCCTTAAAAAGAAAATAATAATTCTATGCACCTAAAAAGGATATTTCTAAGCCCCTGTTATTAAATTTTATTTTTCTTTCTTCTGTTTTCAATCGTATAATCTTTCATAATAATATTACACGTAAATTGAAAACTTCTTTTTCTTTTTCAACCACTCATTTTTCAAAAAAAAAAAATATTATTCCATCTATTTTAATTTGAAAAAAAGAAGGGTCAAAGGGGGCCTAAGTCTCTAACGCAATTCTTGAATATGTAGTAGCAAAATCTAGATTACGTATTTATCTCCAATTCAAGATTCAAAGTTCAAAAAAGGTTCGATCTTGAGCGTTTTGATTTATTAAGTCATGAAAAAAAGAGGTGCTAACCTGTGACTTATATTCATATTAAAGAAAACCTGTGAATCCCATTAATGAAAAGGTAGTGAAAGATAAAATGATTTCTTTTGAGGTGGAAATTTAATCCAGTGGCTCCTCTCCCTCCACATGTATCATGCATGTATGTATGTATGTATAAAGTCAAAGCCAGCTCCATCAGGTAATCTTGGTCCATTTCAGCATATATTCAGACAAAATATGTCTGTATACAAATCATACAATTTTATATCTATATTTTGCTTATAACCAAAACCCCACTTTTTTTCACCTTGTTTTTAACATTTTTCTCCCAAGATTTGTCGTGGGGTGGATCCATAATTTATTTAGTTTCGTCGTATTATTATCTTGTGCTGTTTCCAAGGAGGTTGTGTATTTTTCACGTTTATACGAGCGCATCTATGTTTTTTTGTGACAAAATTTTGAGTTAAATTTGTCTTTTTTATTCAATTATCATAACAATTTATTTTTTTATTTTTTATTTTTTTTTTATAATGTTTCAGGAAGTGGAACCTAGCAGTAAAAATTGTGAAAATTTCATTGTACTTGAATTGAGCTCAATTAGGGTTTTAGGGTAAAATTCCGTGGTTGTATATATAATGGAGAAAGAAGGAAACTATTCGGTAATACATATGTAGTTCCAAATCTTATCTTTTTTCTACTGTTTGTGTGGTTACATTGACACATAATTTCATGGCCTTGTTGTTTTTCTCTGAACATCCAAATTTCTTGCTGCAGGCTACAGGAAATTATCCTGCAATTGACTATTCTATTGAAAATCATCAGCAGCAGCAGCAGATAATGAGGCCAGAAATTGGAGAAACTTCTGCTGATAATACTTGTCAAATGGTTGATTATATGATTAATAATCATCCACTTCAATCCTCCAATTTTTGTGGTTCAACTTCGCTGGATAAGTTGAGCTTTGCAGATGTGATGCAACTGGCAGATTTTGGCCCCAAGTTGGCATTAAATCAAGCTAGAACTTCTGATGATCGAGAAACTGCAGGAGGGATTGATCCGGTTTACTTCCTCAAGTTTCCGGTTTTAAACGAGAGATTGCAAGATGATCAATCCCTACTGGGGGAAGCTCAAGCCCTTGGAGACAATCAAGAAAGTAATGGTAAAGCGGTGGAAGAAGGTGGTGAAGATATGTTTGAGGAGAATAACTCTGTTCAATTAAGGTTTCTTGGAAAAAATCTTGAAAAAAACCCAGTTACGGAATCAATTAAGAACAAGAGAAAGAGGCCTAGAACTATAAAGACAAGTGAAGAAGTTGAGAGCCAAAGGATGACACATATCGCAGTCGAAAGAAACCGGAGAAAGCAAATGAATGAACATCTTCGAGTTCTTAGGTCCCTCATGCCTGGTTCTTATGTCCAAAGGGTAATCAAATATAATTTTTTTTCATATCTACAAGTCTAGATTCATTAAGATTTAATATACTTTTGTTTTGTGACAATTATAGGGAGATCAAGCTTCGATAATAGGTGGAGCCATTGAGTTTGTGAGAGAGTTAGAACAACTTCTCCAGTGTCTCGAGTCACAAAAGAGGCGACGACTCTATGGAGATGGCCAAAGGCCAATAGGAGATCCTTCTCTTGTGGTGCAGCAGCAGCAGCCTCAACCACAATTTCTAATTCCTCCGGTGCCTAATCCACTTAATGATCAAGTTAGACTTGTCGAACATGAAACTGGGCTGCACGAAGAAACAGCCGAAAGCAAGTCATATTTGGCTGATGTTGAAGTGAAGGTTTTAGGGTTTGATGCACTGATCAAGATTTTATCAAGAAGGAGACCCGGCCAGCTCATTAAGGCCATAGCTGCACTTGAAGATTTGCAGCTTAATATTCTTCACACGAACATTACTACAATTGAACAAACTGTTCTCTATTCTTTCAATGTCAAGGCACGTATCCTTTCAACATAAATGTCTAATAGTTTAGGGTTTGTTATATATATCTTGAGCTCTATGGTTAATTTTAGGGTTGGTCGATTATATATATGTCTCCCTTTTAAATTTGTACCTTGCTTTATTTCATCTTAATCTAAAAAATACAACATGGAGCATGGTTTGAGATTAGAAGAAAACACTGAAAAGTTTGACAAAATCATTTCCATAATAATTGAAAAATATCAAATTTTTGTGTATTGAATGTAGGATTGTCATAAGCAAATATTTTGCTTTTAATTAAATAATATTTTTTCCTATGTGCAGATTACTGCTGAAGCAAGGTTTACTGCTGAAGACATTGCAAACTCAGTTCAACAAATATTCAGTTTTATTCATGCAGAAAGCAACACATGATGTAATGAAATAGAACTCGATTCATTTGTCGCATATTTACTTGGATATTTACAAACTTGTATCTTTGTGAGGGTTCTCAATATATGATCTTCTTTATAAGGTAATGCAGCAACTGAATTGAATAGTGTTAATGGTTTGATGGTTGAACCCCTGCATTGAGAGTAAAATCCATATGTTCACTTGGACATAAGAATAATAATAAACGACTAATTTTCTTTACATTTTTAAGTTTCTAAGATGGAATTCCAATCCTTTAAATGACTAAATCAATCATTTTGAACCTCAACTTTTAGGCAATTCTTAGATACAATCATCTATTAGAATCAATAGATCTTCAAATTATTCATTTGAAAAAAAAAAAATGAAAACCCTTCTTATTAATTTACCATAATATTTTTTGAATGTTGGCATACTTACCCAACAGAGAAATAATAACTCTTTTTATTCAATAAGACACAAAATTGGATGATTATGGTAAAATCCCACGACTTAGATATGAAAGTAAAAACACAAGAGTTTAGCTCATTCTTCTTGCAAAGGTTGACCACACAAAATCCCAAGACTTAATAGTTAGCATTCTCTCTCGCAGTACATGTTGTCAAGGTATGTAACATAGCAATCTATCTGCTGGTAATGGCATTTGTGGTGAGAACCTAAGAAGTGATATAGACACAAGATATGAAGTGTCAATTTCAAGGGCAACCCTTATGCAATAATAGTAGGACATGTTTGGGAAGGTCAACGCACCCCACTCACCTAATCTTTGATTCCATTTGGGTTGACCTGTCAGGACACAGAAACTGCAATCAAAAGTCTCAATTAGAGTAGGGTCCTTTTTGTCATCTTGTTTATCAAGGTTTTATTCAATCATCTCCCATTTTTGTTTTGTGGGCTTCAGTCAATATTTGGATGTATTAGCTAGCAATTAATTTGTACATACAACGATGCACATGGTGGTGGGGTTTCGTTTCATTAAGGTTCAATTGGGATCATTCGAGACTTCGCTGATACATTTGGTTTTTTACCAAAGATAGAAATGAAAATATTTTCCGAAAAAGTAGAAATGTTCTAGAGAGAAATCATAAATATCCTAGTTTCAAGATGCAATTTCAAATTTAAAATTCGAAATCGTTCCTCCTAATCGTAATTTTGACACACTTATTTGATAAATAATCGTACCATTTAATTTAAATCAATTCAACGCTCAATATCTTGTGGATCTCAAGTAATTATAACAAACTCTCTCATGATCTTAGTGAAATATATATATATATTTATATATTTAAGATTGGATTGACTTAATTTAAAAGTCACGATTACTTGTCAAATAAGTATATTAAAATTATGAGTAGGAGGAATGGTCCCATTTAATGAAATCTTTTAAAAATCAGGTGGTCTCATTTTGTGACCTCTTAGTAGATTTTATGACTTATAATTAATCAAACATGTCATGATAAAAATAAAGACATAATTTATGGCAATCATCACATACTAATCACAATTACACAAAACCACAGTTACATAGATACAATTTATTGATCACAATTTATGTCTAATAGCAAACATGCATATTAATATGTCATAAAGTACCAAATTAACTAGTCATAATCAATCTTCTATTGGAATAATTCCATATGTGGGTTTCACATTTGATTGCAAATTTTATGGGTTAGATGTATGGCTCATAATGATATTTGTGTTTGGATAAAATTTATTAAGTGATCAATTGGGTCTTTTATATCTTACGGGTTGTAATTAATGTGATGTGGTAATTTTAAATATGTGGGCCGAAAATAAACCCTAATTAAAATTATAGCCGTAATGAGATGGCTCAATTATTTTCTATATAAAGGCTAGGTCCCCTCTCCTCTCCATATGTTTTATTAGCTTGCCCCATTGATAGCTAATGCTTTGTGAGGAGCAAGGAGGGGCAGTTTTGACCGCTAGTATAACTATTATTCATATCAACGATGGCTTCCGCATGTATGAATTTAATATATGAATTTATTATTTTGTGATTCTTGTTCTTAGCATGATTATAATTAAATTTACCAATTAGTATCAGAGTCTACGTGCTAAGATAAGAATCCATCATAGTTTTGTTGTTGTTGTTTTTTTTTTTTTTTTTTTTTTTTTTTTTTTTTTTTTTTTTTTTTGCTTTTTTTTTTTTAGGCTTTGAAGTCGAAACATGACAACAGCAACAAATTGTTGTCCTCACCAGCTTTCAATTTTTACAAGCAAAATCCACGATTGTCTTGAAATTAAATCTGTAATACAAGGTCTATCAAGAACAGTTTCTTATTGTGAAAGTAAACCCTTTTCTCCTAAAAACAATCAATTGAAAAGTGAATTCCAGCAACACAGACGTGTTTTAAAGTACTCACAAAGAACCTATGTTTTTTTTCTTTGGTTTTTCACGCAGCAAGTTGCTTAAACTTTAAATTCAACTTGCTTATGCTTGTGGAGGCAATTGAAATTTATACCCTTATTTTTATTTGAGGTTTGATAAGTGAATTTACAAGCCCCTAGATAAGTTTCCACGCCTTTTGTTGGACAGATTCTTCACTTGTGAAAATAAAATCCATTCTTTCAAAGTTAACGCTTTACAGATTGCCATTTTTCATTGTCACCTCCCGACGCCGGCAACCAAGATGGAAAAATGGGTTTTCTCTCTTAGGGTTTTCAGAAAAACGATGGCAGTGGAGGCGAGGGCTTCGGTTGTAAATAAGAGAATTACAAGCCCCTGTTTGCAATTAATAATTGGGGGTCATATTGCAATTACTTAAAATAAGGACCCGCCACGCAATTTTCAAATATTGAAGGACCTACTTTTAGTTTCAATTCAGGGTCCAAAAATGTAAATTTCAAAGGTATTAAATTTGAACTTTTAAAAGGGTTTGACCTTGAAATTTTGATTTTGATTTTATTTGCTAATTGACCCAATTAAAATAAATAAATTGATGACTTTTATATTTTTCCATTAAAATGGTTATATATTTAAATATTGCCATTATTTATGCGTTTAAATCTCATTTTTTGAAATTTTGTTGCCAGTTTCGTCTTTCAATCACATATAAATTTTTACCTTTCATCGATTAAAAATTATGATTTATTGCATAATTATTATTCTGTAATTAAATTTTTCATGAGCTTTAAGACGATTCTTATTTTTCCACTGAGATAGAAATATTTTGAAATAAAAATGGGTGGTAACTGCCAAAGTGACACACTCATTATTATTTATTCGATTTTCTCTACAATAAAAATATATGTTTATTTTTACACAACAATTTTGATTTATTGCATATAATATCTTGCCCAAAGATGTTATTATATGTGATATTTTGGAAAATTACATAAGGCAGTTAACGAGTATCTTGGTTTAGAAATTTCCTTCTTCCCAAAGGTGTTGGTATTTCGAAAATCAATATGATTTTGTTAACTAGTTATATGATGTGTTTTAAGAGTACCTTATAACATGTTATATTGTTTGCTCAAATGTGACTTTATAATGATGCATCTAGACTCTTACCGTAATAAAATTCATATGGTTTTGATTTAAACTACAAATTATCTAATTAATAGCTCATATTAATTAGTTGGATATTACATCATCCATTTGATTGCATGCATTACGTTTGGATGATATTAAGAGTGATATTTTATATTTCCACAGTTTATAATGTCTCATCTCTTTTGAATCAAGTGTCTGCTATTGAAATTTTGACTGAGAATAACTATGTGAGATGGAAACGAGACGTAGAAATAGAACTTGGTCTTTTGGGCTTAGATTTTGCAATGGAGAAAAAGTTTGAGAAACCCACAAATAAAAGTACCGTTGAATATGTAGCCGAGTATGAAAAGTGAGAAAGGGCTAACAAACTCTGTTTGAAAATCATTAAACGATCTATATCTGATTCTATTCTAAGTGTCATCCCCCATAATGAAAATGTCAAAAATTTTATGGATGTCATAGGAGAAAAATTTATTGAGTCTGATAAAGCTGAAACTGAGGATTTGATGGATAAATTGATGAGCATGAAATATGATGGTATAAGTGGTGTTAGGAAGCGTGTCATAAAAATGATAAATATATTATCTAAGTTAAAGGCTCTTGACATTCCTATTGCGAAACCTTTCCTGATCTATCATATTTTGAATAGCTTTCCTAACAAGTTTAATCAACTTAAGGTTGCTTACAATACTCAACAGGATAAATGGAATTTGAATGACCTCGTAACAATGTGTGCCCAAGAAGAGTATAGAATGCGCCGTGAAACTGTTGAAACTATACAATTAGCTTTTCAGCCATCACAAAATAAGGGGCCTTCTCATAACCATAAACCTCAGTTTCGTAAAGGTAATAAGTCCCACCGAAGTCAGCAAAATAAAAATTTTAGTGGTCCTAAAAGAGTTATAAAGAAAAATGATTAATGCAAGTTCTATTAAAGGAAGGGTTACTGGTAGAAAAACTGTTCTAAGTTCAAAATTTGGTTGGAAAAAAAGAAGAGTTCTCCGGGTATTCTGTTGGTCTTAGTTTGTTTTGAATCTTCTTTAGTAGATTTGTCTTTGAATTCTTGGTGGTTAGACTGAAGAGCTAGTATTCATATTGCGAATTCCTTGCAGGGGTTCACAAGCAAATGGAGGCCGAGTGAGAATGAAGTAAGTTTGAGCGTTGCAAATGGAATTCAAGTGAAGGTTGAGTTTATAGGAGTAGTGAAGTTGACTTTAGAGTCTGGTTTTTATCTTGTTTTGGAAAATAAAGTTTATGTACCGCAAATGAGACGAAATTTAATTTTTATATCGAAACTTGATACTTGTGGTTTTACATTTAACTTTGGTAATGGAATGGTTGAGTTATTTAATGATTCTCGATTGATTGGGAATGACATTTTATGTGATGGTTTATATAAATTGTCTTTAACTCCTCTTGGTGATGTCTCATGTGTTACCAATGTATCAAAGAGAAGGACTTTAATTTGTGAATCATCCTCTATGTTGTGGCATAAGCGTTTGGGTCATATTTCTAAGAATAGAATGGAAAGATTAGTAAAAGTCGAGATACTTCCCTCCTTAGACTTCTCTGATTTTGACACCTGTGTGGATTGTATAATAGGAAAGCTAACTAAGTCTACGAGAAAGGGTTCGGCTAGGAGTAATGGAATTTTGGACTTAATACACACTGATATTAGTGGACCCTTACCTTCCACTATATGTGGGAATAAATATTTCATAACTTTCATTGATAATTTCTCACGATATAAATATGTTTACTTAATTAACGATAAATCACATGCACTTGAGAAATTCAAAGTTTTCAAATTAGAAGTCGAGAAACAATGTGGAAAAAGTATCAAAATTGTAAGGTCTGACCATGGTGGTGAGTACTGTGGAAAATATGACGAGTCTAGTCAAAATATGGGTGATTTTGCGAAGTTTTTACAAGAGTGTAGAATAGTGTCCCAATACACCATGCCAGGGACACCTGAGCAGAATAGTGTGTCTGAAAAACGTAATCGAACCCTAAAAGATATGGTTAAATGTGAAACTTTGGAAATTGCTATGTATATTTTGAACAGAGTTTCAAGTAAAGCTGTTGCAAAGACACATTTTGAATTATAGACATGACGTAAGCCAAGTTTGGCTTACTTTAAAGTTTGGGGATGTCCAATTGAGGTTGGAATTTATAATCCATTTGAAAAGAAATTAGACCCTAAATCAATTCCTAACTACTTTATTGGGTATCCGGACAGATCAAAAGGATGCAAATTTTACTATCCAAATCATGGCATTAGAATTGTACAGTCCATTACTGTTAAGTTTTTTAAGAATGATTTTGGAAATGGTGAGAGTTCCACATTGAGAGAAATTCTTATTGAATCTAATTAAGTTGTTGTTCCAATTTCTGTTATGCAGGAAAGAGTTGGTTCTCAACCAATTGAAGTTGTTAATGAAGAACCGAGGAACCAGGAGAAACCTCTAATTCCTCAAACAACAATTGAATCGGTTTCTGAGCCACAAGTTAGGAGATCACAAAGAGAAAGAAAATATGCATTACCCAGTGATTATATTGCATATTTATTGGAGGAAGATTTTAATATTAGATATATTGTTGATCCTGTAACTTATAACCAACCATTGACAAGTCTTGAGGCAGATAAATGGATAGCTATCATGGAAGATGAAATGAATCCCATGGAAAGGAATAAAGTTTGAGATCTTGTTGAACTTCCTCCAAATGCTAAGGTTGTAGATAACAAGTGAATTTTCAAAAATAAATTAAATTCAAAAGGAAATGTTGAACGAAAGAAAGCAAAATTGATTGCAAAAAGTTTCACTCAACGAGAGGGTATTAATTATGTTGAAACCTTCTTCCCTGCTTCGTCGAAAGATTCTTTTCGAATTATCATAGCTCTTGTTGGCACACTACGATTTGAAGTTTCATCAAATGGATGTAAGAAAAAAAATTTGAATTTACGTGTAAAATATTTTATTATGTAAATATTTGGTTCAGAATAAGTATAAGAATTAAAGAGTATTGAAATGATGGTTGTCAAATATGGGGCTTAATATTAAATAATTTAATTATAATCTGATTTATTATTGAAATTCAAAAAAAAAATGTGGGGTGTGATTTCCTCAATGTTGTAAAATAATTATCATGATCGTATTTTCAAATAATTACTTCTCAAAAATTTTTTACCAAATAAGAATGTTACATTCCAGTTTTTGCGTGCAATTTCAGTAACTTTTGTGAACTCTAAAAGACTTATGGGCCTTTCTCAGTAAATGGGATCCGCTACAGAGATTCGACAATCCAATCAAAAAATTCAAACCCAAACCCAAATCAAAATCCCTAAATGAAACCCTAACCCTTAAACCATCTTCATTCCTCAGCAGCCCTAGAGGGAGAGTGTGAGGGAGGGAGTTGCTGTGAGAGAAACAATGGTGTCGGGCTCAGGGATCTGCGCGAAGAGAGTGGTGGTGGATGCGAGGCACCACATGCTGGGCCGCCTGGCCTCCATCTTAGCCAAAGAGCTTTTGAACGGACAGAAAGTGGTGGTCGTCAGGTGTGAGGAAATCTGCTTGTCAGGTGGCCTCGTTCGCCAGAAGATGAAGTACTTGCGGTTTCTTCGTAAGCGCATGAATACCAAGCCGTCCCATGGCCCCATACATTTCCGTGCTCCATCCAAGATCCTCTGGCGCACCATCCGTGGGTATGATTCTTCTTATTCGGTGATATGTGTATAATTGCTAGCAATTTAATTTCTTAATTTATGTTAAGTGGGTCGTTTGAGAACTTCATGTGAGTTTTTTTTAAGTGTTGAATTATGTGGAATAATAGATACTGTTTGCACACGTTTGGCATCTTATGAATGTGCATGTTTGGTATTCATTTTTGATATATTAGTTTTAGAGTCTGTAATTTGCTTTTAAGGAGAAATATTAT